GAAGAACCTGAAGCACCAAAACAAAAGCATAGATTCATAGCTCCTGATTTGCTTGTTCAAGCCATTCTTCTCATTCCCACAGGGAAAATATTTCCATGTTTGCAGGAACAGCCAGCAATGGGTTAAGAAAGGGTCAGTGTGAGGAGATTGGTCTCAGGGTGGATGGTTTGCACTACAAGGTAGTATGTGTGTATCTCTTCTTCCTCCCTGTGTTTTCAGGGAAGGAGAGTTTTAATTTAGAGTATGGTAATCTTCATGTGGGTAAAACAGATGTCTTCAAAGTAAGAGTTATACGCAGTATTGTGTAGACAACTCAGCTTCCTTGGGAAGCAATCGTCCTTACTTGTCCCTGGATAGGCAGCATAAAGCCAACAGGTGTTTGATCCCTAATCGTGGCCAAAAGGTTTTTCCACAATGAATATATTCTCTCCTTCACCATCTACAACCAGCTCATCTAGAAGCAACTGTGAACGTGTTTTCCCTTGTTGCCTTTTTTTTTTTTTTTGAGAAAAGAAAATTTCTTCAGTTTCTCCAATAACAGCTAAAAGACTCTTCATTATTGCTTAATCTCCCTTGAAATTTTAGTATTTTTTCACAACATCCAGATAGCTCACAGATCACCTATGAAATCACAATGGAAGGAAAATAAGGGATGACTGGGGATGCGACTCTGCTCTCCAGCGTGTAAACAGAATCAAACTTTTAACAGTGAATCAGATCCAGCTTTGCCATGCAACACTAAGCTGTTTTTCGTGTTGCTTTAGTAGGTGAAAGGACTGGTCCTCACCTGATTTAAATCTATGTTGTTCTGTTTAATGCAACAGAGCTATCCATATGTACACCAAATTGAAATTTTGTCCTGAGATTTTTACTACAAAGAGTGAGAGCCAAATTAAAGGTGAGGTGAATTAGCATTTAATTCTGAACTGAACTATCAAAACTGTGGCCAGACATTAAAGCTGCGTTCCCAATGGTAAAGCTTTTGGTTCAGACTCTGGTCTCCCTGGCATTCTTAATGCGATTACTCTAGCTGTAACCTAGACATGGATCTGATGTGATTTGTTCTCATATGATGCCTTGAATGAACCCATTTCAGCTCAGCATACATAACTAATCTCTCACTATACGCTTCCAGCCGTGCATCAAGATCTGATTCAGCCCGCTACTTATTTTTGTTGTGCTCAGTCAAGTCTATTAAAGCCAGAATTTTCTGACAGTATAACCTCCTCAGTTCAAAAAGAAATTCTCTACTGCCTTTTTTAACATTAACTTCGTGTGCACGTAAAAAGAGTCAGAGAAATATATTTGCTGCTGCTTTAGACTGTGTGTAATGACTAGCAAATGCATCCTATGTCCTGGGATCTTTTGTAATAGATCTAATTTCAGGAGAACCCATAGTTATCCCTCTAGTACTAGCTTCAGTAACCTTTCACTACACTAAATGTCAATGAGATATTCTGAAGTTCCTAACACTGCATGTTAACACTACATGCTAGTCACAGTTTAGCTTAAATCATATTGATACATGCACAGACTCCAACTAAGCAACGCCTCCAACTAAGTTTAGATCCTTTACACACTAGAAGTCATACACATCTTAAAGGTGCTAAGGAATACAAACAGACACAGCAAACAAAAAGCAAGGGAAATGTAATAATCATGTCTTTAAAAAAACTAAAAACTGAAAAAGAAAGTAGTTCAATGTCTTACCAAAACATATCTGTGGTGAATCCACGCATCATATCTACTACAGCCTTCTTGATTCTCTGTCCAGTCTTTCAAACACAAAACCATCCTCCCCACAATTTCATTCATAAATTAACTTCTCTGAAGGTCTCTGGGTACAGATAATTTAGACAATACCACAATATTACTACAGCATTAGTATCAGCAGTAGCAAAACAAGAAGAATAACCACAGGAGCATTAACGTATTAGTAGGGTCCTACTGTATAACTGCTGAAGTCATCCTGTGGCTTGCTAAAGAAAACAGCTTATCCATAGCAATCTTTCAGTCTGTCACATCATAACAGGTCCTTCCAAGCATCAACCGGAGAGGTCTGGGGTTTTTTTTAACAAAATACTTTCTAATCTAAAGAGCATCCACAAGTTCCTTCGCTGCTTACATCAAACATTCCTGAGCTTCAACATTTCCCATATTCTTTTTCAAATATCCCTGTAATTATGCAGGCTGAATTACATAAGGGCATGTCCCCTGGATTTCTAAACTCTGTACACTTCAGTGACCAAATCACTTTGGTTCACATATAGATTTAGCAATCCTTAGAGAGCCCCACAAGAAAAGCAAATCTGCCTGCTAAATGCCTTGTAATTTTTGCTTATCTTAATATTCAACCCAGTCTTCCTTTTCAATCACCAGTGAGTTCTCTTATTGTGATTACAGGAACCAGTTAAAAGGGCCAGTACCGCAGTAGAGGAAGACAGCAGTACCTAGAAACATGGTACTTTGCTAGTGCATATTCAGGAACCAACCAAGCACTTTCATTTCAAGCCACAGTGCTTATGTAGCACTATGTCAGAACTGTCATCACAAAAGGCTGAGACTGTTTTGGGCACTTACAATTAACATGCTGGTGACTACCTGCAGTCCTACTACAAGATGGCCCAAAGACTTCATATTCAGAAATACGCTGGCCAGACACTGGGAGACACGTTCCAGCATTACACTTCGCTGGGGTTGTCCTGAAGATAGGATTTTTTGCTACCAACAGAAGTAAATTCAGTCACCTTGAGAGCTTATCTTCACAGGAGGCTTCAGAACAGAACTTTTCTTACTCTGAAATGTAAAGAATTCCTCCTCTTTACATAAAAGCATGCCTTCCTTTATGGCTCAAAAAATTTAGGCTGATTCATCAAGTGATTAAGTAGAAGAAAGCTTCTCTGAGCAGCGAACTATCAGAGATTTTGGAGAAAAAACACATCTGTCTTAAGAGTTGTATATACTTCTTATTTTGCCAACATCGTGATAGCAACATATGCCTCTAGCAACTGAATGCTTGTGTCAACAACAGGGTTATTTTGCTAATAAAATTTAAGCCACTCCCCAAACAAAACAATTTGTCCTACCATAAAAGACATTTGATTTTAAATCTATAAAATTGCATTTTGCTTAGAGTGCATTTCTGTTAGCTGGGGATGTGATTCCTTTTCACATTCTTTGCCAACTTAAGCATAAAAGTAAAATTTCTCAGCATAAAGCAAGACTGCCTGTTCTAGTAAGAATATGAGATGAAATGCCAGATTCTAACCTGCTAATCTGTCCATGTCCTCTGACTAACCAGATTGACTCACTCACTCTTTTTTCAATTAAATACAGTCAGAGCAGAAATGAGAAAACCTTTGCAACTGTTTGAAACTGAAGTCAACAGTAAATGCTGGCAGGATCACAGTTGATAAAAACACAATTCCTACAAAATGAGCAATACCCAGCATGTCATACAGAGGAAATAAATTTAGAGACATGAAAAAGAAGCAAGTGAGCACAGACTAGACAACCAAGAAACTGCAAGCTTACGGATCTGCAAAAAGGCAAGGAAAATAGTGCTGGCTACTTCACTAGCATGCCCATCTTGCTTCAGAGAAGTTTACTGCGAGTTTGCATTACACTGGCATTGTACATCAAAATCTCGCATCCAGTTTGCCTTTTCCAAGGAATCAGAATGAACTACCACAACATGAACCTTCTGTGCAAAATGGGTGGCTATTTTTCTCAGCAATGTCCCAGCGAAACAACTGATTTCAGATTCCCCACGGAGATTACCAAGATCACACAGAAGAATGTCACAGTGATCACCTATAAGTTCCTCCAACAGATCTTCCAACTATTTAGCAAAAATCTTCCTGTTGGTGCTTGGAATACAAGCAACATCGAGAAATTCCAAAATGGAATTCATCATCAAATTGAAGAATTAGAGATATGTTTGTCAGAAGAGCTATCAAAAGCAAGAAACAGCTTTCAAACATGGATCCTAAGAAGCTCTACACTCAGCATGAAAAAGTACTTCCAAAGAATCACCAATTTCCTGAAAGATAAGCAATACAGCTACTGTTCCTGGGAAGCAGTCCAAATGGAATTGAGAACATGCTTTATAATTTTTGACAGTCTTATGAAAAACACACGTTATAAAGAGGTAACATCTATTTTTTTTATTTTTTGTAAGAATCTGATAATTTTCCCCTTTTTGATAGGTTTTTAATTTCCACATTTTAATAATTTTCAAATTGATAATTGGGGCTGGTTTTCAAAAAGCATTCAGTGCTCTAAGTTAAACACGTAGAGTACTCAAGAGAATGGGCACTTGGTATCACTGCTTCTGTAGAAGATAAGCTCTTTAAAAAATAAGTGGATATTGCTCTTCTGTATTCTCTCTTTGCAGTATAAAAAAGTTTTGTGGTCTTTCCACAGAATACGCCAATTGCTTTATGACTTGAAACTCTTGCATTTGGACACTGCATAGATTTTACTTTTGCATTACTTCACTAATGCAGAAAAAAGTACAAGATGTAGACATGCATAAGGAAGACAGACCTTCTTGGATTCCTGTATGCCTCAAAGATCTTAATTTACAAAACAGATGTGAATTTAACATGACTTGGACCTCTTTAAACTCAAAAATAATGATGGCTAGACCTTCTGAGCTAGAAAAGTCAATTCCCAGCTTTGATCCTTATTTTGCAAGTAGAGTCATCTCTATATCCTATGGGGATATAAACCCCATCTTTCTATACAGCATATTCAATAACTACAGCATGGATTTTTAGGATATGATGGTTCACAACGCTATATAAAATATGTATTTGTTCTATCTGCTTTGAGTTCATAAGCAGACAAGATTAATCTGAAAATATTTACTATATGGACAGAGATGCAAACAAATTTCTTCCACTTCTCTCCCACTTTTCTTTCCCTCATACAGGCAGAGCCAAGCAGTGCTTCAAGTCATCATCTTCATCAATTTTAACTGCCAGTCAAGAGACCTTTTATATCCTGGGTCTCAGTACCACTCCCTATATATTAGAAGACTGGATGAGTTCTGACATGGATTATTTCCCACCTCAGATTTCTAAGCATATTTGACTCCTAAAATATGCTTATCATAAATGGAACGTGTTGAATTGGAATGTAAGAGGAAAAGAGTTAAAATATTACTGTGACTATATGGGACTGGGGAAGAAAAAGGGAATATTCTGAAGAGAAAAATTTCAATGTGCTGTTACCATTACCTGAGGATAGAATCTCAACATTTTGCCTGAGAAGTTTGAGGTCTGGACAGCAACTTTAGTCCCACATCTTTTCTTTATTTAAATGGAATATATATATATAGCAAAAACCCTTCCCACTTTGGGGGGGGGACACGACACTAATTCTGGGTGTAGTGATCTTAATGGAATGCTATTATTATTCCTGATCCCAGAGTGCAACAACAGGATACTTAGAACTACCTCACTCTAGTCATCTAAATTAAGACATTGAGCTAAGGAGATCAGGCCCATCCACTTCACTCTCACATGCTTCTATTTTACAGAAACAGAGGGAGGAGATAATGGGTTTCAGACTCCTAAATATAAGTCTACTTTCAATCACCAATGTAAGAGCTCAGTTCTTTAACTGGTTGTATAGGGAGCATAAGACCAATATGGCACATTATTAATGTTAACTTCCCAACAACCTCATTAATCAATCTCTGGAATCTCTGTTTTATTGATTTAAGCACTTTGCAACTACGTTGACACCATAGTGATGTTTACTGGCAGCAAAATATGTTCAAGCACATTTAATTCTGAAATTTTTTTTTGTTTAAATTTGCTGCTTTTAATGTATGGTTACTCTGGGGAATTAATATAGCCCAATTTTGGATATTCAACTTAAGGAAGTTGCTGAACTGAAGCCCATGAACTTGAGGTTTCCCAGGTTTCCCTATGCATAATGCATAACTGTCCTGGTTTCGGCAGGGATAGAGTTAATTTCCTTCTTAGTAGCTGGTACAGTGCTGTGGTTTGGATTTAGGGTGAGAACAATGTTGATAACATAGGGATGTTTTAGTTGTTGCTAGGTAGTGCTTACACTAGTCAAGGACTTTTCAGCTTCCCATGCTCTGTTGACTGGGAGGGCTGCAGGTGCATGGGGGGCTGGGAGGGGGCACAGCCAGGACAGCTGACCCAAACTGGCCAGAGGGATATTCCATACCATGGGACGTCATGCTCAGTGTATAAAGCTGGGGGAAGAAGAAGGAAGGGGGGACATTTGGAGTGATGGCGTTTGTCTTCCCAAGTCACTGTTACACATGATGGAGCCCTGCTTTCCTGGAGATGGCTGAACACCTGCCTGCCCATGGGAAGTAGTGAATGAATTCCTTGGTTTGCTTTGCTTGCGCGCACGGCTTTTGCTTTCCCTATTAAACTGTCTTTATCTCAGCCCACGAGTTTTCTCACTTTTACCCTTCTGATTCTCTCCCCCATCCCACTGGGGGGGAGTGAACGAGCACCTGTACGGGGCTTAGTTGCTGGCTGGGGTTAAATCACAACAATAATGCAAGATGATGTCAAGTTGTATCTATGTACCTATATCTATCCTGGACATACTGGATTTCAGTCCCTGAAAGGCCAAGAATCAGCACAGACTTCAGCAGTTATGACTGGACACAACCTTACACGTCCTACTAGATTCCATTAATTTTTCATGGGATCACAGCATATTTTGGCTAGGTAATGACAGCACCATGAGCAAAAGCCATCCCTGGACAGTGTGGAAACATTCGCTTCCTTCATCTGCTCTTCTGGGGAGGTACTTTCATGAATTTAAAGATATGCCTATTAACTCATGCATGCTTTATTGTCAATTGTGACTCACATTTCAAGATGCAGGTTTGTTTGTTTGTTTTTTTTGAAAGGGCAAAATAGAGAGGTCGTAAAGCCATACACTCATTAAGTGGTAATTTGGGGTATCCGGGTGAGCTTAACTGACTGGTGTCAGCTAAGCATTTATAGGGAACGGGTGTTTAAGAACTGCCTATGCTAGCTTTCTGAAAAAAAATCTTTGCTTTTACAAGTTGAAGTTAATTATATCTTATAGAAGAAAAAAGAAGTTATTGTAGACAATACTATTTTCACATTTCCCATCTGGAATTCGGTGTTAACCCTCAATGAGGATACATATGCAACTTTCCATCCTTGTGGAAAGAGCTGCACTGTCTGAGGCTGAATATATAGTCTTCTACTATTTGAAGTCAAATAACTTTAAATCTTGACCTTTTCCCTTACAGGAGTATTTAGAAATTAAGTACTGTACTTTTCTATGAAAAATTCTAGACTACTGTTGTTACATGTAACTTTTACAATTAAACTTTTTGTAACTTTTGTAATTTTTTATGATTACTGTAACTGGAGACCCAAAGCAACAGAAACATGTCTATTTGTTCAAGTTTTTTTTCAATTGTTGGTTTTGACACCACTGTAGAAACAAACCACTTCAATATCTACCTTATAAAGCACTCTATTATCATGTCACTGGGTACTTCCATACACCAACAAAGGAAAAAAAGAAACTAAAATGAGAGAGTAAAACTGGTATTCTAAGACTCTTAGAATTAGTACAGAGATTCAAAGCCACTTGAAATTTCTTTTAAGAAAAAAATTGATTACATTTCAAGATCCTCTAACTGGACAGTTTCTTGACTATTTTCCTGGGTAAAAGGAGAAAAAGTGGAAGTCCATATTTTTCAAGGAAGCGCCATCTGAAATGTTCACTGCTGGCATTTGTATCACGTTGTACTGGTCAATGAAATGTTGGATCACTTTGAAATATAGACAGTTGTGAGATGGAGAAGACAGTTCTCCCAAGATTTAGAGCTGGAGTAAGGAATGCACGACCAAAGGGTGAGAAATAAAATGGAACTTCATTTCTTACAGCCCTCAGCCACACTTCTTCGGTTTCAGCATGCTGAGAGTACTGCCCCATCAAGGGCTGGTGTCAAGCCTCCCCAAGCTGTTTTAAATGCCTGTTCAGCACTCCCTCCAGTCCCTGATTTAGAGACTGCATTCACCTGTCTGCTAGCATTTGTTTTAAAACTGCAGAGCTGCATAATTATGATAGAAATATTTTCATTTTTTGTACCACCAATGGCAGTAAGTGTAAAACTGCAAAAACAAAAATCCAAAACCAATACTCACTACAGTGGGAAAAGACTTATTTTTAAGACAGGAGACGTCCTCTGTTACAAAGTACCTGGATATACTGCACATTACTAGCCACAGAATTTGCTACAGTCTTTCTGGATTAAAAACCTGCATCTTTTGATAGCATGAGGGTATGTTCAATCTTCGCACAAAAATAGAAAATCCTTTTTTTCTGATTGTATTGGTGTGGTAAGGAAATGCCCTCAGCAGCAAAAGCGGCAGATATTTTAAATTAAATGGGAACACAGATTTCCTAGATCAAACAGATCTTGGAAAGTCTTGACTGATGAGGCCCCTGCTCTTAAAAAATGTGTTCCCATGAAGCTATTTGATTAGTTTAAGTCCCTTTTTATCTTTTTGGGGTAAATCAAACTGAAGTTATGGTTCATAAGACAGGATGACCCCAATTTTGCACCTTCACTTCTGCCCTTCCCCACTTTTCAATCCCACATTCTTGTCCTGCTCTAACATGTGTTGAACCTTTTCCTGAGCTTGCCAGACCAACAGGAAATTATCCAAACAAAACAAGCAAACAAAATCCATACTTTTGTTCCAAGGTAAAGATTTAAAGTAATGCAAGGAAAAACGCTCACTGCATATGAGAACCAGCACAAAAGAGAAAGGGGAGTGTGGCAACAAGACTGCATAACAACCACAGGAGAACAGTAAGCAAAACCTCCTCTTCTGTTGTCGTCTGGTCCAAACTCCTTTAAAAGAGCCTCTCAGTCACACTGTGTATGACTGACTATTAGATTTTCAGCCATAGCCGCAGTTCACTTGTAAGCCTTTTTCCTTTAATATATTAATGTGCTAATTACCCATCACCAAAGAAGCTTACTGCAGTAGTAAGCTGGTAATTTCTCTGGAAGTGTACAGTAGTTAGCATTAAAATTCCAGTTATATCTTACTCATTTCAGCTTTCTGTCTCCATCAGTCCCTGGCTCAGAAGAGGCTCACAAGACTCATATCTGTCAAAGATGCTACTGAAACATCTAATCCTGAAATAATATCCTAAAACAGAAAAATGAAAATAACATTGTCTTTCGTCTTTAAACTATTCCATCTGAGATTTTAGTTTACCTGACTCATGATAAAGACTGAATATGAAACAAAAAACAGTACCACGTTTTTCCTGTAACATTTTTAAACAATTGCTATTCCAAATGACTCTGTGATCCATGTTCCCAGGGCACTTGGCCCTCTCTGCTTCTCTTAGTTTCTGTTCCAGAACACAAGTACCTTCCTCAGGGATCTCAGACGATGCTGAGTACTTTGCTGGCAG